AGGCTGTGGATGCCCCGTCCATCCCTGGAGGTGTTGGAGGCCAGGTTGGATGGGGCCCTGGGCAGCCTGGGTTGCTGTGAAATGTGGAGATTGGTGGCCCTGCGTGTGGTGGGGGTTGGAGCTTCATCATCCTTGAGGTCCCTTCCAACCCAACCATTCTGTGATTCTGTGATGTGGCTGTAAGGAAGAACAGAACTCTCCTGCATCCAGGCCAGTGTCTTTCAATGCTGCCTTACATTGCTGCCAAGGTTCTGTGAAACACAAAGTAACACAGCAGTGTTATTTGCCAGCCTTTGCTAAGACTTGTTCAGCTAGCAGCTAGCTTGAGATTACACTAGAAGATATTGCAGTCTTCAACTGGACTGTCACGTTCGGTTTGAAATATACCACACTGGTGCAAAGCCAGTGAATCTACCAGTATACAATCCCTGTAACCTTTCATCTATGCACAGACTTAAACATCATTTTTTTTTTTTTTTTAATTACATTTTTTTCTGGCAGCAGAAAAGAATTCTCTTAGGGAGGAAAGATCCACTAAAAATGACCTCCTTTCTCCCAAACTGCCCTCACCTTGCAGTGCAGCTGCCTGCTGTTCTCCTCCTGATCTCCGTCTGCCTGCAGACATTCCCGCTGCCTTTTTAAGAAAACCACACTGTTTCTCGTGAATGTGAAAGGCTGGTCGAACCTTTCAAAGGCTCAGCAGAGGGGCAGAGCCCCCAGCACTGACAAAAAGGGTTAAAATCCTACCTTATGGTCCGCCATCAAGCCATCAAAATGGAGATGGGTGTAAGTGTGTGAGAGGGATTGAAATATCCAAAGTAAGGAGTTGAATCTGGGGTGAACCCCCTGGCAGTGAGTGGCTTTTATGGGCTCAGCAGTTTTCTACCACTGCTGGAAGCAAATGCTTTGGGCAGTGTGGTTTCCATTCGTGAAGAGCTTTGGGGGTGTGAAGATGAAGCTTGAGCTCGTGCCAGCACTCCCAGAGAGGGCTGTGGGCTGGGTTTATGTCTCCATCATCTTTGCATGGACTTCCTCCTTTGGGGAAGGTTCAGGTTGGATATCAGGAAAAGGTTCTTTGCTGAGAGGATGGCTGGGGGCTGCAGCAGGCTCCCCAGGGAAGCAGTCACAGCACCAAGCTTGCCATAGTTCAAGAAGTGCCTGGACAACACTCTCAGTTGTACGGTCTTATTTTTGGGTGCTACTGAGTGAAGCCAGGAGTTGGACTTGATGATCCTTATGAGTCCCTTCCAACTCAGGATTTTCTGTGGTTCTATGATTCAGCCTCACATTCTCTGTCCAGTGGTAACGCTGGCAGATCTTATTCGGGGTCAGTGCACAAGCCACTCACTTATTGCAGCCCTTTTCCATGAAAGGCAGCCACATTCATTCGATTAGAGATGTTGGGGAGGATCCCCCTGCCCAGTCCTCTCTGCATCCATGCATCCCTCTTCCCTTGGAGGATTTTGTCTTCTCCATGGCTGCAAATCCCAGAACATCTTTACCTATCAGTGCGGAAGCACACTCGGATCTGCTCTTAGCCCACGTCCCAGTGGTTTCTCTGGGTGTCCCATTCTTGTACTGCTGATTTGGTGATCAGGAGTCCTGTATTTGGGCTGTTCACCACCTTCATATTCCTTCTTCAGCTTTCTGTCCAAAATCAGGAGCTGTGGCCTTTGGTCCTCCTTCCAAGCTGCTGCTTCATTCTCTTGTTATTTTAGTTGCCTTTCTCTGAACCTTCTCTGACTCCACCATGGCCTTCTGAAACGTGGGATAAGAGCATCGTTTGAGTTGTAAGGAACCCATAGAGATCGTTTGATCTCAGCTCTTAGAGGAACTCGCTGAGGTCCTTGTCAGGTTCCGCGTGCCACCAAAAATGGGGATTCTGCATTCTCTCTGGGCATCTGTTCTGATGTTCAGCCACCATTACAAAGAGTGTTTTATTCCTAACACTTTGTTTCCTTTGTTCCATCTCTTTTCCCTTGCCTCTCTCCCTTTGGAGAGTCACAAATCCCAGAATCCCAGAACCCCAGAGGTTGGATGGGACCTCTGAAGCTCCCCCAGTCCAACCACCCCCTCTAGAAGTTCCCCAGAGCAGCTTGCACAGGAAGGCATTCCAGATGGGTTTGCCAATGTCTTTCTGTGTCTTTCTAACACCCCAGATGCGAGTGCTGGTTAGTGGGGAATAATCACTTATAATCACTTCTCTCAACTGACAGTTTACTCCCTCGCAGTGCAGCGCAGTGTTGTACCCTCTGGTGTTGCAGTGGTACACTGCTGACCTAGCTCAGGTCTCTGCAAGGACGTGCTGATGTCCTGTTCCCTGTTTTCCCTGTCGCTGTGCAGTGTATTCTCTTCCTTTTGTAGCTTCTTCACCAGGTAGCTCAGCGCCGTGTCAGGGGCCTTACTGAATTACAGATGTAGTACAGTCATCTTCCCATGTCCATGGCCAGTTAAGCCATCACAGAAGGCCACCAGGTTGGTCAGGCAGGACCTGCTTTTGGTGAAGCCACACTCGTCCCATATCACCTTTCTCAGAAAACTGACAGAGGAATTAGATTCAAATAATAATATGAGGAATAAGAACACACTGAATGGCATTTCAGAGCAAGTCTTACTTCATTTGTTGTTTTTTCTGGACGAAGTAGCTTGGTACTTGTTGTGATTTTTCTGGTGATAGCATTGAAGTACTGCACAGTTTCTCTTTTGCTTCCTGTCCTACAGAGGATGGGGGGAAGAAAGCGAGATGAAAAAGAACATGCAAATTTTTGAGATAGAAGCAGTTCAATGAAGGAAAAGCAAAAGCTGTGCACACAAGCAAAAGGAAAAAAAATACTCTACTTCCCATCAGCAAGCAATCTGCAGCACCGACTGGGAAGCCAGGCCTCAGCACACACACTGCTCCAAAAAGTCAGCACCATGTAATCACAGTGCAGAACAGGCTGAAGTGGGGTGACATTAGCTATTGGAGCCATCAGTGGAGTGTCAGTGAGTTGGAAGGGTTTCCAGGCAGATTGTATGAGGATTTGTACCAGACCTGACGCTATTCAGCTTCAGCAACACTGTGGGAGCAAAATTCCACAGATCCAAAATTGGAGCCAAGAAATGATACGTGGGAATATTAGAATTGTAATTTATAATGAGTAGAGAACAGTGATGTTGATCACTTTTTCCTCTTCAAAGAAATACACTTCGGGGTAACTAAAAGTGATGTTTTGCATCTAGAAATAAACGGTGTAGACTGGTTCCCCTTTTGCAGTATTTCTTCCAAAAAGCAGTGACTTTGAAAATTGTTAAAGCGTCATAACCAAGAACTGCAGTGTTCTGTCACTCAGAATCACAGAATCACAGAATTGCCAGGGTTGGAAGGAACCTCAAGGATGATGAATCTCCAACCCCCACCAATGCAGGGCCACCAACCATCCTTCCTAATGCTGGACCAGGCTGCCCAGGGCCCCATCCAACCTGGCCTCCAACACCTCCAGGGATGGACGGGGCATCCACAGCCTCTCTGGGCAGCTGTTCCAGCACCTCACCGCTCTCTCTGTAAAGAATTTCCCCCTGACGTCCAACCTAAATCTCCCCTCCCTCAGCTTAAAACCATTTCCCCTTGTCCTGCTGCCATCTCCCCTTCCCAAGAGCTGACTCCCCTCCTCTCTGTAGGCTCCCTTTAGGTCCTGGAAGGCTGCAGTGATTCACCCCGCAGCTTCTCTTCTCCATGCTGAACGAGCCCAGCTCCTTCAGCCTGTCCTCATAGGGGAGGTGCTCCAGTCCCCTGCTCATCTCTGTGGCTCCTCTGGCCCCTCTCCAACAGCTCCCTGTCCTTCTTGTCCTGGGGGCTCCAGGCCCCCAGGACTCCCTCCGGCCCAGGTGCAAAACTCTGCACTTTGCCGTGTTGAACCTCATCAGGTTCACCCAGGCCCTCTGGCTCAGATAATGAACAGTCATCCAGGCAATGAACAGTTATCCAAGCAATACTTGGACATGTAAAAAGGAACAGTGAAGATGGAATTTTCCTTTTTGTGGAGGCTCTTGAATGCCATTAACCCATCAGTGCACTGAGCTGCTTCTTCACAGATGAATGAATTACCTCTTGGGGAGCTTCAGTTGCAGAGAGAAGGTCAGAATGGCCTCAGAGGGTGTTGGAGGATTGCCTTCAGACACTGTAAAAATTGGCCCTTCAACTTTCTGCTGCCGAAGCTGTAACGCTCACTCGCTTGCTGCTCATCACAGGAGTGGCCGCAGGCTTGTCAGTGCCTCCCCAAGGACAGGTTTCCTTCTCTGGTTGTAACACGATTGATTTTTTGCAGGTCATTCCCCGTGGGCTGGCGTCTCGCAGTGGGCTGCGGGTAGGGGACAGGATCCTGGAGGTGAACAGCATTGACCTGCGCCACGCCACACACCAGGAGGCTGTGAACGCTCTGCTCTCCAACACCCAGGAGCTGACGGTGTTGGTAAGGCGAGATCCACCGCCGCCTGGCATGCAGGTGGGTTGTGAGCAGGGGTTGCTCTTCCTTCTTCACACACGGCTCAACTCTGAAGGCAGTTTCTTATCTCGCTGGAGGTCTGGGTCTGTGGTACGACTGAACTTCTGTCTGAACTTTCTGGATGCAGAGGAAGGCCATGAAGGTGATCTGGAGCAGCTCTCCTGTGAAGAGAGGCTGAGAGTTGGGGTTGTTCAGTCTGGGGAGGAGAAGGCTCTGGGAAAACCTCATTGCAGACATCCACAACCTAGAAGGGGCCTGCAGGGAAACTGGGAGGGACTCTATCATGGATTGTAGTGATAGGACATGGGGTGATGACTTTAAACTAAAAGAGGGGAGACTTGATTACATATAAAGAAGAAGTTCTTTCCTCACAGAGTGCTGAGGCCACAGTTCAGGCTGCCCAGAGAAGCTGTGGGTGGGTGCCCCATTCCTGGAGGTGTTCAAGACCAGGTTGGATGGGGCTCTGGGCAGCCTGACGTAGTGGAAGGCATCCCTGCCCATAGCAAGGGGGATTGGATGAGCTTTAAGTTCCAACCCAAACTGTTCTGTGATTGTCTTGTGGTGGAATCACAGAATCACAGGGATTGGAAGGGACCTCAAGGATCACAAAGCCCCAACCCCCACCAATGCAGGGCCACCAACCTCCACATTTCACAGCAGCCCAGGCTGCCCAGGGCCCCATCC